CGGCGAGAGCCACTGCCGCCGGCGCGCCGCACCGCTGAAGTTACCGACGAGCTGAAGTTAGCCAGGCAGAGTTTTCCCCGCTGCCGAGCGGGCGAATGGCATTAAATCAATTCAGATCCGAGTGGATTCTAGGGAAATCCCTAAAACACACTCAAATAAAAGAAATTCGCAGTCATACCGTTAGCGAAGTTGAATTCTCACTCTGATAGTTGAGGGTCTTACATCAGGTCACTCGTCACGTACTCAATAAAAAGCCCTGGTGCAGGCTGGAAAGAGAGGGGCATTTCTCCAAGACCCTCCCTCCTTCCCGAGACAAACCTGCTCACGGTTTGAAGACCACCTACACAAAGTTGTTAAAGCTCGGAAATATCTCGTTATCGATTTAGAGGATTCATTGTCAAGTGGTTCAAACCTAAGTCAGGGCTTCGAGATTGGAAAAGACGCAGTGCTCTGCTTTTTGTGGTTGCAGGTTTCTGAGCATCCTGCTGGAAGAGGAAGCACAACCTCTAAAACCAGATATTTCGAGGCAGAGCAATAAACGGCTCCTACCTAAAAAAAAGCTCCCGGGGCGCATGGCATGGTCGGAGTGCCACATCCCGACCGCCCGGCTGAGAGCTCACGTCTTTCTCCAGAGATCTAAGCCCTTCGAGGTTCAACCAGCAGCAAGAGCAATAACCAAGGCAAAGCAGAATTAAAGGCGAGATTGCGGAGAATCTCTTGGCAAGTCTACCTGGGAATAAACAAAAGTTTTGTATGCAAATGGAGAGCCTGGGGCAAAAACCATGCCTACAGGCTCTTCAGTTCTCCTGACGCTTCTTCTACAGCCTGAATCCGCTCAGAACAAGAATATCCACATGAAACACTCGGTATTTTATTCCCAGGCAGGCTGGAGGGTTTAGCACTTTACCACAGAGGAAGAAGTGTGCAAACCTGGATGCAGCAGTTCATTTCACCGCTTCAGAAAAAAAATCTCTAAATATTTTAAAGGTAGGGATCACTTGCTATTAGCACTCAGCATTTATGTAGCACTTGCAGTCTGTAGGCGACCAAGTGCTTGTCCAAAGTGCTCAAATATGACTTATCCCCATTTTACAGATGGGAGAACTGAGGCACAGAGAGGTTGAGTGACTTGCCCAAGGCCACGCAGTCAGAGAGCGGAGGCAGAGCAGGAAAGCGAGCCCAGCTGTTCTCAGAGCGGGCTACACCTTTCCTGCTAAAAAAAAAAAAGGCCTATGCAATCCAGAAAACCACCGGCTGCCAAACCTACCCTAAGTATTTTGAAGAGGAAATACATTCTGGTGAAGAGTTAGAACAGCATTACCGAGAGGGGAACAGCGGGTCTCCTCGGATGGGGCAAAGGGAGGGACACAACCCCAGCGGGTGTCACAGCCTACACGGCCGGGCTGGAGCAGGAGAAAGAAGGGGGAAAACAGTGAAACCAGCAGCAACGTATTTTAAGCTGACGCGAAACGCTGGGCTTAGCTTTGCGCGGTCGCTCTGAGAAGCCATCCATCTCCGTCCGCAGAGCTGGGGATTTTCCAGCCGCTCTCGCCTGGGCTCAGCATCTGCCGACGGAGGCTTTTGGGACCACGCAGCCAAACCCCCTTTGCTCGCACGCCTGCGGCAGCGTCTCCCCATTTTGCAGTTATGAATAAAGATTACAAACGTTACTGCAGTAAGAAATCACGTTACTACACAGCACTGAAGAACATTTGCCAGCGATATACGGAGTGTCAGGAAGAATTAATCAAAACCACCCTCAAAGTTGACACGCACCATACTTTGGGGGAAAACACCCTTGGATGAAAACAGTCCCATACCTGCGTGCTCGCACAGCGTTGAGTACATGTTAACAAGGTTCAAATGCATTTGCACAGACAAATGGTGATTTCTTGTATCTCAGACCGATTCGAAGGCTTGGGGTCTTTCTGGTTTCCCCTTTCAGAGATAGGTAAGGAAAGATGTCATGGATGGTTTTGTTGCTGTTATCTTCACATAAAAGGAGGCTGGGAAGGGGGAGGCAGGGAGATTTTCACCATTACAGCTTTCCTGGGATTATTTGGTCGTGTTTTTATCATAATCAGATTCATGGGATTACCAGTTTCCATCTGGGTTGTTAGTTTCTTGTCAATTAATTACAACCTGTGTCATTTAATTTCTTCCGGCGATTGAGGGCCAGCTGCTCAATGCCACACTTTCTCCCTAAACGCGTGCTGCAGAATAGATGTCAAAAGCCCCATCTATGCCTTTTAAGCCTAGAGATCTTTTCTGAAACCGAGGTGCAACGCTCCCCTTCCCACCCCACCGAAGCCGTCTGGGGTGGGGGGAGAAGCGGATCCGAGGGGCGCCCAAGCCCCAGGCATCCTCCCCTTCCCCCCCTAACCTGCCCCAGGGTCCCCCCCCAGCTCATCCCC